TCCAGGTTGACTGATAACACATGATTCCCAAGCCCCCACACAAAAATCATGACTGTGGAGTGGCCAGCCCTCACCCTGAGATTGATTATCAGGAGTGCCCCACTTTGTCCTAAACAAAGACAATCCCATCAGGTATGACACAGATTACCTTCTAGAAGCCAACAGTCCAGCAGGGAAGGCCAGACCTCTCTTTGGGCAAAGCCAAATTCTTTATTACACAGTAAATAAATGCTGCCTTTAGTAGGATCTCTGAGGCTCTTGTCTCCAACTTTTGGGCCCATAATCTGCTTGAAATTAAGCAAGGCTTATCAATCATAATGTAACAAAAGAAAACAATTATGTCAGGCTTAAAACAGCATAGGTCTATTTCTCCTTCACTCTCCATGGCCAGCATGGGTTGAATGACGCCTCTGCTCTGTATTTCCTTGCTCAGGGCCAAGGCTCAGGGAGCCAGCACCGTCTGGAGTGTCACTCTGCCATGGCAAAGCAAGACATGTAACGGATCATGTGTTAGCTGTCCGGGCAGAAGGGACACACATTGCTTTTCACACATAATGGGCCAGTGCAAGTCTGACGGTTGTATCTAGTTTAGGAGTGGGAAATTGAAAAACTGTTTTACCCTGTGTCCAAAAAGACAAGAACTGGTCATCATAGCCCTAGTTACTAACCCACGGGATTTATCTCTAAAAACAAACAGACTCACGTAAAAGACTTTTAACCATTGCTTCTGTTTTTCCTCCTCATTGTCCTACCTAAATGAGACATCGGAATGTGCTCATGGAATCCTGGAAATTATGCTTACGTGCTGTCAGCTCCATCTCATTCTGCCATCCACCTTTAGGCCAGGGTCTCTGACTCTCTTTGGTTTTTTATTTAGGGTTATTGGGATCTCAGAAGTCCTGGTATACAGAGAGAGAAAGTCGACCCACTTCTCTTCATGTACCTCGTCCCTTTTCCTCCAAAGAACCCCATCTTTCTAGCCACACAGTAGTTGCTGATCCCTGAGCATACTCTATTAGTCCATGCTCTATGCCTTTGCTTATATGGTTCCTTTATAGAAAGGCCCAGCCCACCCCACTGGCCAACAGACCACACAGACTCATATTTATCCCAGGGTCTCAACTCAAATTTGTCTTTCTATAATTTTGGTCAACTACTTCCTTATATGTGAATCTGTTGGTTTTCTGTAAATCTGTTAGCACCCTTTTCTTTGATTGATTGGCTGTGCTTTCTGCTAAAGATGTGAGGGTAGAAATGCTGTCTTTTTCCGTCCTTGTGTCTCCAGCACAGTTATAGCCTGAGAGTAACTTAACAGATCTTTGATGAACTGGCGATTATGGAGATATTGAATCTCTAGGGTTAACAAGAGAGAGAGAAGTAAGGTCATATTCAGCAGTTACAGCAGGTCCTCTTGAGAAAAAATATCTTCTTCCAACTAAATTATTTCTAGCCATTAAAAGTTGACCCTTGCTTTTATATAATGAGTGACCCAACATAGTTAATTATAACACAAGGAGTTCAACAAAGATTTCGACTGCGCTTGGGTATTGGGCAATTGGTTTTCTATGTAATTTATTTCTACACTGCATTTCCAGTCCTGTGGCCCAGACTGGCTGCTGTTGGTTACCAGGGGATGGATGGGGCTGGGAGATGGATGAGGTCCCTGACCGAGAGCTGCTGAGAGGCACTGCCAGACACATTCCTCAGAAAAAGAAAGAAAGCTCTGAGGTCAAAACACCCTCAGTCTGCAGCTTTTTTTTTTTTTTAATTGCTGAGGGAAAGAAGCACACACCATTTTCTTCAGGTATATATTTTAAGATCCCGTGTCCCCTTCAAAGCTTTCTTCGATATATGCGGTATACGGAGAGGAGGAAAGCGAAAATAGAGAGGGAGATTAAAAAATGTATTTAAAATGATTTGATTCAAATGACCTACTTTCCAAGGCCATAGCACCAATGTTTCATGCCATTTAGATGCCTAGGCCTTGCACTGGTGGCTTTGCAAAAGAACGCACAGCAGAACACTGGCTGGGAGAGGTGGGCAGAAACTGGAGATCTTCAGGAGGGTGGCCTTCCCAACTTAGCATGGCCAGGTGAAGTGCCAGATGAAATTGGGTTTTAGGTGGGGGGCCGTCCATCTCAGTCCCTGCTGGTGCTTGGCGTTCCAGAATAATTATTCATAGTGCCCTGTTTGGTTCTCAAAGGCGTCCTGGTGTGGAATGGGTGCCCTGGTTTTAGGCACCCCCAGAATGGAGAATATTGGAGTGATGGATGGGAAAGAACAAGACTCCAGAGTGAAGAGGGCTCCGGGGAGAATTATTTTATGAGAGTACATTCTGTGCAGGGTTTTCCTTAAAAGGCTGCATATAGTGCTTTCTGAAATGCCTTGCAGACTTTCTTCTGACGCACTTCTTGACATCAGTTTATTTTTCTTTGGTTCAGCTTTTATGGGGCCAGCGTGTCTCCACGCAGCCTGGATTTCTTTGAGACTCACGGGCGGCAGTGCGGCTTGTGTGTGTGATTCAAGCCTGGACAGATTGGCTGTGAATGGGGTGATAAGAATAGAGAGAACCACATACCAGTAGACCACACTTCCTGTGCACAAGCCATTGAGTACTGCGTTCCACTGTCTGAAATAGCATTCATCTTAAGGCTGGGATCATTTATTCCTGTGGAATTAAGCAAGAGCACTGGCAGCAGAAGGAACTATTTTGGGAAAGAGATGTGGGAGGGATTTTGCTATGTATCACAGGCGAGGCAGAAGTGCCTTCCGTGGTTTTGAAGACCACACTGTTCCCTGAAGCCCTGGTAAGTGGGAATTGACAATTTTCAGATAATCCCATGTGTAATTAGTGTCCAGGCTAATGTATACACACTGCGATCTATAAAGGTCAGTAGGGGCGGAGTTTGGGTGCTTCAGCTTAAGTCACCTATATGGCAGAAAGAGAACTTTCCTTTGGAAATTAGCATTAGTTTCTCATGCAGATGCTGTTGAGAAGGGGTAAAATATAGGGTCTTGTTCCCGTCCCCCTCCTTAAATATGCCCTTGCACATGGGTTTTGCATATTCCCATGTAAACTTTCCTCTGTCGTTGGAGAAGTTTAAAATAAGGCAGTGAATGCTGTGTCCCCCCACCCCCGCTCCCTCCCCATAAAGCTGAGGTGCGTAGAGCTTGGCAGCTGGCAGCAGCTGCAGAGATAAATAAGCCCCGGGGCTCCTGGACGGACTCGGTGCAGGAGTGCACGGGAGAAGGTCGTGCAGCTATGAGCGCCTGCCGAGGGATGAGGCCATGAGGACCGAGCTGCAGCTGGAGGCCAGAAGTTCAGGCAGTGAACGGGAGGTGGGGGCTTAGAGGAGCTGGTGTGATAGTCCTTTTGATCAAGCTATTGCATTTGCAGGGGTGAAGGGGCATACTTTAGAGGACAGAGAAAAGTCAGACGCAACTTAAATGACTTCTGTCTTGTCATTTAATTAGTGCATTTAATGGAAACCAGGGCATTATGTTGGTCTGTTTCTATTTAACTTTGCTGTTGGATAGTCAGTCCTTCAACTGGCAAAGAGCTGACTGCCTTCAGACTTTTGTCTTTACAAATTAGCTGCAGTTAGAAGTTGAAAACAGTAGCCCAGTGCTACTTAAAAATTTTCTACATTGTTACTGATAACCAGTTTGGAAAATGTTTTTCTGTGGAAGGCTTTTGACTTTTTTTTTTCAGTGTGGTAGCTGTAATCACAACAGACTTTTTTTTGTTATTTTATTGTTTTTCTTCTCACTTTGGCCTTGGAATTAATGTGCGAGGCAGAGATGTTAATGTTCCCCACCCCAAACAGTGCTGTCGAGGCTTACGATAAACATTTCATAAATTATATACTATTGCTCACAAATATATAGTGATTTTACTTAAAGTCAAAAACCATAAATATCCACTTGTTTTGTATGGGGAGCTTGGTGAAGTGTCAGTAAGTGGTACCATTATACTAGACTTCAATGGCCTATATATTGATTTTTTTTTTTTTAAGCAAATGAACTATCATTTTATGTTGCAGTTAAATGAATCCAAAGGATCTCAGAATCTGAAATACACTGCTGTCGTTCTACTGGATGTGACGTGAAAAGTTTTTTCATTTTTATGCAACGTTTCTACCTCTTTTTTTTTTTTTAAAGATTTTATTTATTTATTTGTGAGAGAGAATGAGAGACAGAGAGCACGAGAGGGAGGAGGGTCAGAGGGAGAAGCAGACCCCCTGCTGAGCAGGGAGCCCGATGCGGGACTCGATCCCGGGACTCGATCCCGGGACTCCAGGATCATGACCTGAGCTGAAGGCAGTCGCTTAACCGACTGAGCCACCCAGGCGCCCCGTTTCTACCTCTTTATCATTTTAATTACTCATATTAGAAATTGATGGAAAAGACCTTTATCTCATGACAAGACATAAGAAAAGTATTGAAAATTTTGAGGCATGTCAAAAAAATATTGAAAAAATTTCAAGAAAAAAATTCTTTTAAATTAGAAGATTCTTTAAGTAGTGTTTTTCTTTTTGTGTGTCTGGTTTCTCTGGGATGCTAGAGAATTAACTTTAAGCACAAGTGTTAAGTCGATAGTGATGAAAGAGCTAGATATGTTGGAGGCAGAGCGGTAGAGAAGGAAGGGGGAGTGAAGATTTTTTAAAAAGGAGATTGAAAAAAAGACTGAAATGTTCAGAGAACCAATAAATCAAGAAAAGGCTTACCGAGGGCTGCTACGGGGGGGATCAGCGCTGGGACATCCAAGGAGAGGGGATAGCTCGAATTGAGTTTGGGAAGAAAATCAGGCATTTTTCACCTGGTTTCACCTGGATCCTTAAATGCATCCATCTGAGATGATGGAAACTCATCACCAGCCCACTCTCGGTGGGTTTACCTGTGGGATGTAATTGCCAGCAGTCCCAGCCTCTTCAGTCTTTTTCTTTGTGATTGCCTGCATTCTCACAAACTCTCTGACCTTCCCCTCTTCTGTGTTCTAGGAGAGACAGCGTCTGGAGACCATCCTCAGTCTCTGTGCTGAATACACAAAGCCCGACCGTCGCTTGTCCACAGGCACCACCGTGGCCGATGTGCAGAAGATCAATAAGGAGCTTGAGAAGCTGCGGCTCTCTGATGAGGAGTCCGTGTTTGAAGAAGCCATGGTGAGCCCTGACGCCAGGTACAGGTGCCGCCCGAAAGGCTCTCTCAACGATGCGGACTCGGCAATCTTCGGGAGCGTCGGGCAGAGCAGTTCTGGCTTCCTGTCCCCCAGGAGCAGCAGGAATGATGACCTGCTCAGGGACCTCACGCCTCCCTTTCTGAAAACTTCCAGCGAGTCTGCTTATCTTAGTATCCTACCGAAGGTAAAGGCAACAGAGCAAAAAGAGCAGGATTTAGGGCCTGGGACTGTGCATCTGCATTGGCCCAGAGACTAGAGGTTTTACCGTACTTGTTTTCCAAAATTTTTTTAGTGAAGCTTCAGTTTAAGAGGTAACTAGCTAAACAAGGTGCAGCAAATTAGGGCATTTACTATAAAGTAAATTTGTGCACCGTAAGAAATGCAGCTGTAGAGAAAACTCGAAAGAAGGATGTTTCTCTTTTCTCTGCCCCCTCCCAGTTGTACACCTGAGAAATAAACACAGAAGTGTCTTACCTACCTTCTTCATATTCCTGTGCGTATATGGCCGCGTGTTAGAGGCGTAGACTCACAGGTGCAAACATACAGGGTTCCGCTCTTTTTCTTTTCCTCACTAACTGTCTTGCATATCTTTGCATTTTAGTATACACAGCTCTGCCTCTTTCTTTTTAATAGCTGACTAGTATTCTGTTGTTTGGAAATAATATTTAAATTGTTTCTAGCTTTTTTACTAATAAAATCTATATGCAGCGAATACTGTGCAAATGTATCTGCAAGATCACTTACTAAAATTGGAATTGCTGGATCAAAGGGTTTGTATATTATTCATTTTAATCAGTATTTCCAAATTATACTCCCAAAAGTATTTCCAGGTGACACTTCTACCAAAAGTTTATGAGTATGCCTTATTCTCCATACACTCGCCAAGGCTGTACATTTTCAAAATTTTTCAATATACTAAGTTAATTGGTGTCTAATTTGCTTGTCTTGAATTATGCATAAAGTTGGACATCTTTTCATATTTTTAGTTATGACTTTGTATTTTGACCCACTTACTCATGTTCTTCACCCATTTTTTAAAATTTTCTTATCTTGTTTTTAGTAAGCAGTAAGAGTTATTTGTAAGGAAATTCGTCTTTTATCATGAGTGGTCTTCCTCCCTTGACTTGACTTATGATATTTTTTGGATGTATAAGAGTTTAAGTAAGATTCATATGTAATCATAACTATTACTTAGTCTTCTGGCTGTGTATTGATTTCCAAATGTCTTCCAAATTTGAAGATTTCTTAAATGGAATTAGAAGGGTCCCTTGGGTGTCTCAGTTGGTTAAGCGACTGCCTTCAGCTCAGGTCATGATCCTGGAGTCCCTGGATCGGGTCCCGCATCAGGCTCCCTGCTTGGCGGGAGTCTGCTTCTCCCTCTGACCCTCCCCCCTCTCATGTGCTCTCTCTCATTGTCTCTCTCTCAAATAAATAAATAAAATCTTAAAAAAAATGGAATTAGAGGAAAATCTTTTGGTGTTACTTTTTTCACACAGGTTAAGAATCTGTGTGGTTTTTTTTTTTTTTTTTGGTTTTGGGAGAGAGAGAGAGACAGCATGTGCAAGCACGCAAATGTGCAAAGAGAGGGCAGTGGGAGAGAGAGCAAGAAAATCTTAAGCAGGCTCCATGCCCAGCGCAGAGCCCGACCCGGGGCTCCATCTCATGACCCTGAGATCATTACCTGAGCCAAAATCAAGAGTCAGATGCTTAATTGACTAGCTACCCAAGTGCCCCAAGAATCTTTTTTCTATGAAATTAAAATAAATTCTCCTACCTCTTTTCTATAAAGGATTTAAGAGAGTGACAAGAAAATGTAAGTTTTATTGGAATAAAATTAACACAAAAAATAGTAATTAGGAGAAAAAAACAGATGCCATAATCACAAGAATTTATTTATTTAAATAAACAGGATCAGTTAATTAACTAAGTAACTCTGACCATTAAGTTCAATTCCAAGATTCTCGACAATTATGGCCAAAGAATCAAAAACAAAAAAATACATCAGTTAAATTTTTGTTGTAAGAGAAGGACACAAACTGATTAAGAGAAAGACCTTATCATGTGCAAAATTCTGGAGGTAGGTTATCATCTGGAGTATTATTCAGGAGGAGTTTGTGTGTTTGTTTTGACTTTTTTACTCAGTGTTCCTTGCCAGGAGTCTGTGTCTACCTTCTGAGTTCTCCCATCATCAGCATTAGGACTCGGAAATGTTCAGTCCTTCTTTCTCCTAATGACCACAGTGACCTTACTCATTCTCTATGGAGAGTACTTCAGAATAGGACATCTGTCTCTATTACCAGAAATGCAACTGTTAGAAACTAGGATGGGGGCAGAATCAAACGTTGGTTGTGTTCAGGCAAAGTAAATGACCCACCGTTTGAAAACTTGAGCTGTTTTCATCAGCCTTTGGCTTCCTTTGAAGTCCTTGACTTCCTTTTCATTTAAAATCCTTTCCCATTTCTTCCATCATGGACAGCTGCCAGATTTTTGTTAAAACAGTGAGCTATGTGTCTCTCTCTAAGAACCATCTTTTGGGAGACAGGTTTCCTCCTGAAGAGGGCTGGGACAAGAGAGTTGCTGGTGTGTAAACGGGCAGATGGTGGCAGATGTTTTTAATTGCCCAAATGTGCTTTTGTGGAAAAGGAGGCCTCTGAAGCTTAGAGCAGCCTCCATTGTGGCAAGACACATAAGACTGTGCATCCTCTGGAGACAGGAAATATCAAAGGCGCCTCTGGTTACCACGCAGCAGCTTAGGCAGAGAGCGAGGGAGGGGATGAGTTCCAAGGACGGAGGTTTGCATGTATGACCTTTTGGAGACAGATATATGTTACCCCAGGACAGCAGATAAAAGAATGTTTTATTAAGTCCTGACCATTTGTTTTGGATGCTTTTCTTCTTAGTAATCTGCTCACTAAATTATTTACTTAGCAAAGGACAGTGTTTGTATTAATCGATCTAAGGATCAGTGGAGAAGAGAGGAATGTGACAAACACATTGATTTCAAGAAACAAAGATTTTGATGACATTTAGGAAACATAAGATTTACTGTTCTGGAACTTGTTTAAGCTAACACATAAAGATACAGATGACCTTAGAAATATGCTAATTTTATTTTATTTTATTTTATTTTATTTTATTTTATTTTATTTTATATTTTAAAGATTTACTTATTTTAGAGAGAGCGTGAGAGCACAGGGGGAGGGGCAGAGGGAGAGGGAGAGAGAGAATCTCAAGCAGACTCCCTGCTGAGTGCGGAGCCTGCCCCGGCTTGATCTCACGACCCCGAGATCACCACTTGAACCAAAACCAAGTCAGATGCTTAACCGACTGAGCCACCCAGGCGCCCTGGAATATGCTCATTTTAATTGGCTTTTGTGAACCTGCTTCTGCCGCCTGAGGTGGGAGCTGAGAATAGCTCACTCCTCTTTCTTCCACAGTGTTAGGATTTAAGTCACACACACAGCACTGTGTGCGTTTTGTGTACAGCCTTGTGACCTGATTTACAAATATTGTGAAATGATTGCCACGCTTAGTTTAACATCCATGACCTCATATCGTTATTTGGAAGAAAAAAAAAGTTCTTTTCCTTGAGAACTTTTTCCCTCTTCTCTTCTTGAGTTATCATTCTGTCTACAGTGGACAGCCCTCACACTTGCAACTTCCTCTGGTTGCAAGGAGTTTCTAAGAAGAGATTTTGAGTGGGGGGAAGCAGATACAGTGTCTCGTTCCTACCCTCCCTCCCTTTTCTCTGTGGAGATCAGGTTGCCTCGCAGATGGCATATTTGGGGATGCTCGTACGTGTGTAAACAATACTCTCCTTCCATTCCATCACAAACCACTCAGAGTTTTAGAATGCCTTTTGAAGATTTTGCTCTTTATAAATAACAAAAAAGAACAACCATTTCCTAGACAGCATTGATTGTTATAAATGGCCTCTCAAATGGTCTGTTATCAACGATGCCTCTTGTGGTCAGTTGTTTAGAAACTTCGAGTTAGACATTTATAATTGCCACTGTCACCTTTCTTCGCCCTCTCTTTGCTTAGAAAGTTTATGGTTTTCCAGATTGTTCAGCTTTTGTTTGCTCTTAATGCTTGACTTCCACCAGTGAAAGAGATATTTTTAAACGATGTTGGCGGTTGAAACCCAATATGAAATGTTGACCCAACAGGATACTGGCCTTCTTGGGCCTTTCCTGCTAGGACTACACGTCAGTGATTTTGGAATGCCATTCACTATTACAGGCCTTCCTCACGCCCTAAAACAGGTACCTGAGTATTAAGACAATGAGATTCATTGTGATAAAAAGGTCAGCAGTTGTTTTATTAATTGGCAAGATACTGGATTTAAGATGGCAATTAAAAGTCTAACTGTCAAAGCTTGGAAGGCCTGCGTACCTTTGCTAATTACCCTGAGATACTGTGACATCTCAATTGTTTGATCTCCTTAAGGGGCAGTGAAGTAGGGTGAAGAATAAAGAATATGAATAAAGAATGCCACATGCTGGCTCTCTTCTTCAAGTTATTTTCAAGATCATTAAATAGGGCGCCTGGGTGGCTCAGATGGTTAAGCGTCTGCCTTCGGCTCAGGTCATGATCCCAGGGTCCTGAGATCAAGTCCCGCATCGGGCTCCCTGCTCCTTGGGAGCCTGCTTCTCCCTCTGCCTCTCTCTCTCTGTCTCTCATGAATAAATAAATAAAATCTTTTTAAAAAAATCATTAAATAAATGAACTTCATGTGGCATACTAAATGTTAATGATTTCTTTGGTTAATATGAATATTCTTGGCACTGATTGATGAGTAAACCTCAATAACTTACTTATCGAGGCTGCTATGTTCAGTGTCCAATTGTGAAATTGTTTCATGGCTGACTTACTAATGAAAAGAAATTACTTTTTCAAAGAGAGATAAAAATTGAATAAGTAATGTACTGATACCCCAGCATCCCTTGACTTACAGAAAGACTGATCTCTACCAGGCAATATCTAGGATAACTAACCTGAAATGGCTGAAAGAAGAGGCGATTTTCAATTCATTATACTCTCTTTTTAAAACAATAGGCCGTCAAATTTTGATCTCAAATACTCCTTTCTTCCCTGGGCACCTGTCATCTCTCTGTTGAGGGGTGTAAGTATGTCCTCTCTTACTCAGGTTCTTTCCTGCCTTTCTCATTCCTTGCCAAGGAACTCAAGTTTTTTTCTGTGAAATGACTTTATGAATGATGACCAGTGTCCTATTTTGTGTCACAAAAGCCCATTGGCCCAGTTGGTGTCTTAAACATTATATAGGAAGAAGGTGCTGTAGGATAAAGACAGTAAGTAATGTGCGAACACAAGAAGTGAAACATGAATTAACTTCATATTAAGTGTATAGTTTTCAGTCATTTTGGGAGTCACTAAAATAATAAGGGCTATATTGCCCTGGTTATTCACTTTATGGAACATTGAGGTGAGAGAGGCCAAGCGTATCATGCCCTCGCTTTTCCACCTTGTGTTGGAAAGGAGACAAATAAGCATGAATGCCCATTCACAGATAACCCTAGTGGTGGGACCCCGGAGTATGGCTAGAGATTCGGGAAACCATTGTAGAAGCTGTGTTCACTCAGAGTTGGGAGAGAGTGTGGAGCTTGGAGTGAAGGTAGCATCATGCCCAAGAGATCCCTAAGGAAGATGTCAAAAGTCTTGTCTAGCTTCTAATTCTTGCTGTGCCAAACTTTCTCTATGACCTTAGCGAAGTCACTACAATGTCTATGGACTACAACTTCCTCATCTGTACAAACTTAGTTATTTCAGCTTTAAAAGAATATGAATGGGTGAATTTAAGTTGGTTTGTATGAGGTAACTTAAGACCCACACTGCTGAGGATTTGTGGGAAAATGCAGAATTGCAACAGAACAATCACAAGGATGCTTTTAGAATCCAAAGAGGCACTGAGACTGTGAAACCCAAGACTTTCTACTGGTTTATAAATTGGGAGATTCTGGAATTGAAGTGTGAATAGCCCTTTTCTGTGTTGATTAATTGCAGACCCCAGAGGATATAAACGAAGAACAAAGGATTCAGGAGTTGGCAGCAATGGAAGAGACCCGGATAGCAATTCTAAATAACCTCGAAGAACTTGAACAAAAAATCAAAGATATCAATGACCAGATGGATGAATCTTCCAGAGAGGTATAAACCAGGAGTTGACTTTTTACCCCTCTCTTGTTTCTCCCTTCCCTTTAGCTTAAAAATATTACTGCTTATTAAGACATAAGTTTCGGAAGCAGAATACATAGAAATCAACATGAGTTAACATTTTTTTCAGTGGATCCAAGTACAGGGTAAAAATACCTTTTTTTAAAAAAAATAGTTCTTTTTCCTTGTCTTTTTTTCTTAAGTCAGATGAGACAAACATATGAAGCCATTTTTGATGTACTTTGGGTATAACCAATTTTGTCTTAACAAAGCTGTTTGCTCTCTGACTTGCTACGGATCTGTCAGCTGAGGCCCCCATATATTTAGGTGTCCAAATTCAAATCCAACAAACATTTCCTGAGTATGCTTACTATGAGTTGGACGTCGTGTTGGACTATAGGGGGATTTATATATGCAGCAAACATAGACCTAGCTTTCTAGAGATTTGCAAACCAAAGAGGAGACAGACACATAGTCTATTACTATTATAGGAGAAAGGGCCAATTTTCATACTATTTCCACGGAGCGAGAAGGAGCAAATGATTCTGCCTAGCATGTGTATACTCACAGATAATGCAGATAGCTCTAAGTGGAAGGGGACTGCTCACCTGTCATCTTGTACACAGACCCTGGATGTTCCTCCTGCTGGCACTGCTAAGAATGCATCACTTGCATGCTGGGCCGGGTGTGATTTTCACTTCCCAAGCTCTGTGGACAAACACAGACAGACACACCTGCTCCCAAGATGGTTTGTGCTTGAGCCTGAATCTGAGCAAATAGGCAAAATACTCTTGAGAAGTTAGCAGAGAAGGAGTTACAGTAGAAAAATTAAATGATAGGTAGATTTCTTAGTAAATATACTGTGGGCTGTCCAGCTTTCTTATATAGGAATTCTGAGTCTCACCTGGACTCTCTGGGGTGTTCTCTAGACCCCACAGTCTGGCTGATACCATAGTACTTTTTGAAATCTGTGGCTGTTAAAAATGCACCTCTAAAGTGGGCAGTTGAGAATCTCTCCGAATGTGAAACACATCTGAGCTTTGTTTTGTGTCCTCAGTTGGATATGGAATGTGCTCTTTTGGACGGAGAACAGAAATCTGAAACAACTGAACTTATGAAAGAGAAGGAAATTTTGGATCATCTAAATCGGAAAATAGCAGAACTGGAAAAGAACATCGTTGGTGAAAAGACCAAGGTAAAAGAAAAGTATATTTGAATTCAATTTTTATGAGCAATATGGTGGTTCCATTCGGTCGAATTTAAATGTTGTATGAATTCCCATGGTTTGGGATTTGTGTGTCATGTTCCTGGAGACAGTGGTACTAGAGGAAAGCCTTAAGATGAGGTAAGTTCTTCACAAAGAACTGTCAGGGACTGAGCTGTGGATGCTAAGGGAGTAGAGCCCATAAGCACTTTCTGAGTTGATATTCATGGCAGCTTAACCTACTTGAGATGAGTGAATTGCTTTTTTCCAACAGGCTTTCTGCTCTTCTGATTGTGCTGTGTTTTTTAAAGATTGATTTTAGCATAAGAAGTTTATTCTTAACCACTGGTATCCTGTAGGGATGACTTAGGCATATTCAAATACAGTTGCCTTTTTTCTTTTCATTTTTCTGTTTATTAAGAATTTGAATGGGAACCATTCATCTCACCTGTCCTGCCTTGCCATTGTCTTCAATGCAAGGGCACTGCTCTTTGACAAATGCATTGGAGTTGTCAGGGAATCCTCATACACTGTCAAGTGGAAAATACCCATGAAACAGTTGACATTTACCTCGGAAAAGGTCTCACTCGTACATTTCAAGCCACAACCTGAATGTTAGCTGATATCTACTCGGGAAAGTGGGAAAAATTACTTGCAATTCTTAGAATTCAAGGTAGTAGTTGGGTTTTTTGTTTGTCTGTTTATTTGTTTATTTCCTCTGGGAAATATTTTACTTACTCTTCTCTCACATTCTGAGTTAGTTACAGCTAAACCAAGCGTAAAATTAAAAAATGAGATTCCAGTTTCAGAGGGAAAAAGCAAACGAACTTGAACACATTCTTCCTTGCTCACCATCTTCTCCACTAAGCTGAGAAAAAAGAAAAAAAAAATCAGTTTGAGTAAGTCCTAGTGGGTAATATGTGGAAAGGATTTCTGCTGAATGCGGCTTCCTTTTTAGGCTCTTCTTTGTTTGAGACCTATAAATAAGGGCATTTGATCTTGGTGCCAGAGAATGAGCTCAAAGTGATATTGTCAGAAATTGATGTCAGATTAACAGCTACACATCAATTTCTTGGTTGCCTGCTTGTCAAGATTAACTACCCAGCTTTTTCACATTAAGTTTTATGTATGTTCCTTCTAGCTCCAGACTTTGAAATAGTAAAGAATCCATTTGGGTAGTTGGTATATTTTTCTTTAAAAAGCTCAAAGCCAGGTCAAAGGATTGATTGTCTCGATCTGCAGTAGAGGACGATTCTGCTTTTCCAAGATTCTGCACTGATACAGCAAGAAACCGTGGGAAGCGTGAGATGTCTTTGCGGTGCTTATTAGTATCTATTTTTATGTCCTCCTGGAAAACTTGTGGGACAGAGGAATGGGTATCATGTTCTCCACAAGCCTTTCTGCCTTCCTCACCCATGTAGTTACTTATCTTTGTGTAGCCCACACATGGCATGGCCTGCAAATTCTGTTTGTCTCCATCATTCATATGAGATACAAAAGTGAAGCAAGTCGTGTCAATCCCACCTCCCAGGGAAAGTCGTGTTATATTCTGTGGACCTAAAGGAGAGGTGGAACTCCAGGGACATGGGCAGAAACAAGAAAGGAGGCCACCTCCATCCTTCCTATTATTGTTTTGGTAAGCTTGATAGAGGCTCTGCATAGGAGAGGGGACACTGGGGGCTTGAAGTATAGGACTGGCTCATGCAGCTGTTAGGGGATTCGTTGATCTTAGAAAGTGGGATTATTGTCTGTCATCACAGGGTGTGAAAAATGGCAGAAACTGGCTTTGGGTGAGAGATTCCAGAGAAGGACAAGAGAAATGGAAACAGACTGGGCTAGATGATGTTATACAGATTTTTGATGACCAAACTCAAATACCGCTTGGCGGCATTACTATGTTTTTCAAATAAACTTATATGATTTTATGACACGGCTGTTTCACACTTCCACTCTGTTCAAACCTCTGGTCCATTTTCCTCCCACGGAGGTGACCTCACCACCTACTTCTCTGAGAAATCAGATGGATCCCATCCCTTCCCCACTCAGGAGGGTTCTCTCCCCCCGTCAAAGATAAGTGCCTTGGGACATGCTCTGGGTGTCATCCCATCCCAGGTCAGCTCTTCTGTACCCCACTCCCCCAGTCTTCTCCTTCTTTCCTGGACTTTGACTGCCAACATGCCAACATTATTTTTACATTTTATTATTATTTAAAAACAAACTACCTTCCAGCTATTGCCTTATCTCGCTTCTGTTCATCATAGCCATGCTTTTCAAACAGTGTTCTTCCTACACTGTGAGCCCTCTTCCTCAGTTCCCAATTACCCACCCCCCCCCAACTCCAGTTGGCCTAGGCCCCCACTTCTCCATCAGATTTGTCCCTGGTAAGACTACAAAAGACCTCGGTGCTGCCCAACCCACTGCGTGTTTTTTAGTCCTCTTGTGATCAGACGTCCTGAGCAGCATTCAAGACAGGGGACAACCCTTTTTCTTCATACTTGCCCCTCCCCACCCTGCCCCTTGGCCCCTGGATGCCTCCTCTTGTGGTTTTCCTTCTCTTTTTCATACTCATTCTCTCTGACTTTTCCAACTGAGTTCCCTTTGCTTGTTCCTCTGCCTCTATAAAACCAGTTGTTAGAGTGTTTGATCTGAATCCTCTTCTCTTGTATCCTCACATTCTTATAGCCATGGCTCCCCAAGACCTGTAAACACTGGTGACAGTCGAGTGTATGTCTTTAGCTTATAAGACTTTCCTGAATTTCTGACTCATATCCTGTAGCCTAGCTGACATCTGCACTCAGACATTTCACAGCTACTGCCGACTCAACACTCCTAGCGAACTCTTGATCTTCTCCTTCCCCTTGTCTTCCACATGCACCACCCCCCCATCCTGTTCTTCCTCCAGTTTTCCCGGGCCAAGAGATGGCATCTCTAGCCACCTCTATGTACAAATGGCAACCCGGAAGTCGATCTTGACCCTTCTTTCTCCATCACTCTCGCATTAAGAGTTCTCAATTTCTTCAGCTGCTCTGCATCTCCACTAACAGCATTCTCTTCTAAACCATCAGAATCTCTTTTCCTTCCATTTCCACTTGCTTCCCTTTTGTTCATTCTCTTCACAGCAGCCAGAGCAATTTTTTAAAATATATAAATTACATCCTAGCACTCTGATTTGTGTTCCACCATATTTTATATAAATTTTATATATTTATATCGTGGGCCTTCATCACTTCCCCCCTCCTTCACCCGATGTGCATGGTGACCTTCTATTTGTTTAAAGAGCCATCCTCCCCCCGCCTCCTGCCAGATCTATTTCCTTGCAGATCTGTTTCCCACGCCTGGAATTCCCTTCCCATATTCCATATCTTGTCGGTTCTATCTTTCAGGGCTTAGATTCATTGTTAGCTTTTCAGAAAAGCCCTTTCAGACCCTTCCAGTTCTGATTATGTTCTCCCTGTTGTTCTTTGAGTCCTTGTACAAATCCCATTTCGTACTTCCCATGTTTGGGGCTTGTTAGATATGGCTTTCCCTCTCTAGCGTGTGAAATAGAGGAAGGCACTGCTATCCACTGTTTACCCAGCTCATAGCAAAGGCTAGAATACCACCCAGTATACTTCGGGAATATTGTCCTTGGATTTCCTGCAAACAGCAAGCCCAGGTGGAGCCTTAGCAGAAACACGGAGCCAGACACCTGCTCAAGAGCTACGTGCTGCCAAGTTCAGGCCATCTGGGATGGTGTGCTTCAGTGCACATGCCAGGGGGCTCGTCATCACACTGCCAGCCCAGCCAGAGCATAAGACAGAAGGAGGAAGTGGCCTTTGCCCTTTCGGGTCTCGTTTCCTTTTCCACACACCTGTTGCTGCTGTCAGATAGAAACTGTGGAATGAGACCACCAAGACCTGGAAAGATATCCCTGTCCGGCAAGCTCCGCTTCAGATGTCGGTAGCACATCCTGTAAGCCTGACTCTACTTTTTTGGAGACAAGGCCTAGAGCCATAGGAGGAAGGCTTACTAACACCTCAAATTTCAAGTACTGGCGTGAAATTACTGACATCGTTTCCTTGGCACGCGAGGCCAGTCTTTGGTGTTATTTCTCTTATGTGATTTGGGAACTATCATTCTATTTTTTACCCAGTGGTATAAATTAATATACAGGTGTCACTCACTTTTCCGATGTTCACGTTATGGCACCCCCCATTTACGAAAGAGCTCCAACAGCACCTGTTTTTCCTGAGAGAAATCCGAAGAGGATTTCCTCCTTTATGCAAAAAGGCGGTGAGGAGTGAACCTAGCGTTCAGCGTGACTCTAGCGCTCATCGTGTGTCTAGCGTTCAGCCTGAGTGTCGCGCTCAGGGGGAGTCTAGCGCTCAGTGTGTGTCTAGCGCTCAGCATAAGTCTAGTGCTCAGGGGGAGTCTAGCGCTCAGCGTGTGTCTAGCACTCAGCGTGTGTCTAGCGTTCAGCATGAGTCTAGCACTCAGCGTGTATCTAGCGCTCAGCAGGAGTCTAGCGCTCAGCATGAGTCTAGAGCTCAGCACGAGTCTAGCGCTCAGTGTGTGTCTAGCGCTCAGCATAAGTCTAGTGCTCAGGGGGAGTCTAGCGCTCAGCGTGTGTCTAGCACTCAGCGTGTGTCTAGCGTTCAGCATGAGTCTAGCACTCAGCGTGTATCTAGCGCTCAGCAGGAGTCTAGCGCTCAGCATGAGTCTAGAGCTCAGCACGAGTCTAGCGCTCAGTGTGTGTCTAGCGCTCAGCATAAGTCTAGTGCTCAGGGGGAGTCTAGCGCTCAGTGTGTGTCTAGCACTCAGCGTGTGTCTAGCGTTCAGCATGAGTCTAGCACTCAGGTGGAGTCTAGCACTCAGCGTGTATCTAGCGCTCAGCAGGAGTCTAGCGCTCAGCAGGAGTCTAGAGCTCAGCACGAGTCTAGCGCTCAGTGTGTGTCTAGCGCTCAGCATAAGTCTAGTGCTCAGGGGGAGTCTAGCGCTCAGCGTGTGTCTAG